GGCGTTAACACTTGGAAGGTATAAGAAAAGCTGTGTTAGCCTTAGTGTTTGTTGGTAGCTGGGTACCTTTAAAAGAAAAATAGACTTGGGTTTTTGAAGCTTCAGTAAGAGAATTTGTGGGCCCTAGTGTGTATGACCCGGGTCCTTCATTTGATAACCAAAGGGATAGGTGGTGAGGAAATAGGGACTTGGGCCACAAATTCACAGCAAAAGAAAACCCAAAAAGGGGGCCTTGGAATTTTAAGAGAAAAAAACCGGGCTTTTTGTTGGTCAAGGTTGGGCTTGGGAATTTAGGCAGCAAGGCTCTAGTGGGCTTTGGCAAGGGAGAACCACATGAACCTCCCTAAAAAAAAAATGAATGCTCCTTTTGCAAAAGTCCCAACCCTTTTTTTTTTTGTTTTTTTTTTTTTTTTTTTTTTTTTGCAGGGAGCTGGGACCATTTGGGTAGGCGGGGCCTTCGGCAAGGTCCTTGTTTTGGGCAAGGACCCGGGTATGTGGCCAGGGTTTGGCTCTCCCCCCTTTTTTTTTTTGGAGCTAGACCTGTGGTGAGCTGGACTTTAGAGTGCCCAAAGCTTGCGCGTGAGCTTCCATATGTTTGAATGCTCCTTGCCGTTCGGCAAGGAGTCAACAAGACCTGAGGCTTGGCTCGAGATGTATGTGTCTTGGCCAAAACAAGGGGCTGGGTTCCTGGGCCTAGGGTTAGAAATAGGGGGGGCAATAAATAAGGTTTTTCAACACCTGCCGTTCGGCAATAGTAGCTGGGACCATTTTCAGAAAAACAACGAAAAAACCAAAGTGGAGCTGGAGTGTTCAGACCTTCGGCAAGGAGGTGAAGTGGAGCTGGGTCTGTGGCAACAGAGCCAAGTCCCTTATTTTCGCAGCTTCGGTAGTCTTGAGCTAGGCATTCAGACTGTCGGCAGGTTCCTCCAAAGTAGTTTCGAAAATTCCTAGTGTCGGGACTCTAGATTGGGAGGAGCAAGAGTTGGGACTGATGAGAAGAGAAGAATGGCCCGAGCCTGAATGAGCCTTCGGCCCTGTGGTGAGAGTTCGTGCTTGGGTCGGGGAGTTCTTACCTTCGCAGTGTCAATTCTCCTGGTGCACTATGTTCTACAATGCTGAAAAAGATACAACAAACAAATGTTGATGCACAAAATTGGATATATAAAAAAGGGGAAAATTAAACGATATCGTCCATCCATATTATAACACAGATCAACAAAATTAAGGTAGTAATTAGTACAAAGGAAGAACTAGCATCTGCCTTGTCTATTGTGAGAGAAGAAACTTCAAGAGAGGCATTGAATAAGAAGACAATCAGATCATGTATAATATTGGCTTCTGAAAGAGGATCATATTAAAATAACAATAACATGGGATCAGATTGTTTCAATACAATTTTATTTCTTTAAATTTAAAAAAAAAAAGATGAGAAATTAAGAAATAATATAATTAGAAGGGTAGAAGAAACTAACTTCACAGCTGTCTCTTGGGATATCTCCATAATTGTTGAAGCATTAATAATAGCCCCCCCTGCAATATAGAGAATCGAAAACTTAATTAATTATACAATAATAAAAAATATATATTATATATAATTTTAATCTAGATTCTAGTCTGTGTAAAATGTGGGAGGATATGTGCTTCAGAATACCTGATCATCCGTTTAATATTTTGCAAAATGAGTGATTCGACAGAGAGGGAGCTGAAGTTAGACACAAAGAGATGGGAAAATTCATGCATAAACAGAACAAAATATATATAGCTAGTCTACAAGGGAAGACCTTGGGAGGGCTAGCTAGCCATGTTCCTCAACTTTTCTAGGAAACTTCATAGTATAATTCGTGAATTCTCTACTTGACTTCAGTGAATTGGTTGTCAAGTCAATCACGCTGGCCTTCACTGGTAGTTAGGCGTCCCGAATTTGAGAAACGTGAAGAAATCTCCATTCGTGCGGGACGTCTGAAAATATAAAACATATGTGGAATGTGAAGAAATGTCCACATTAGAAAGTTGAATTCCTTTCAAAAGCTTATATGGACTTGAATTGTTATCCGAAACATTTTTTTCACCTTCTCACATCCTTAATATCAAAATGGAATTAAAAACGGAATTATGAATCTCACAAATAGCACAAATGAGTGGGTACTTGGAGAGGGGGAGGTGAAAGCAAGGTCTGATTAAAATTATTATTTGTTGGATGGGGTCTACGTGGGTATTAAATAAAAAGAAAATTTCATCCAGACCATAGTCAACAAGGGAAGACGTGATCGTAAGAGGGGTAGCTATGTTATGTTCCTTTTATCTTCTAGGAATCTTCATAGTATATAATATATATTCTCTATTTTCCTTTAAATTCCTACGAAACTTCATATTGTCGGCAAGTATTCTTCCCACCGCGGAATTGGATACGTCTGTCTTCATGATCAATGCGTCATCATGTGATGAGATCCTTCAAATCCTGTTAGCCATTGCCAAAGCATCTTCAACTAATATGGTTCCTTTTGTCAAAACTATGGTATGGAGATATGATCTCCCCATGACCCTAAATGTTGGAACTTTAGGTTCGATATAAATTTGAATAACAATGTTCACTACATAAAATAGATCAATTGTCGATCGTAGTGAAATAACCGCTCTCTTCAAACTGTTGTCCAACCCGATGCACTTCGTATCCTTGACGATAGGAATAAAAAAGAATAAAGGATCTATTAAGACCCGAAATACACATGATGCCAAAAATGCCCTCTTCCACTTTGAAAGAAATGACCGACCTCGATAAAAAATGCTCTCTACTATTGTTGGCCATCCTCTCCTTGGTCTATAACCTTCATCTACAATCGCAGATTCCTCAACTGCCCAACTGAAAACACATCATAAACAACATATCAAAATCAGGTACTACAAATATATTAAATTTTCTATGATATAAGGTTCTTTATGGATCCATGTGTTCGTTGGTTTTTCTTACCTTCGTAGTGACAATTCTCTTGGTGCAGTAAGTCCTACGATGCTGAAAAAGATATAACAATCAAATGTTGATGCACAGAATTGGATCAAATTGGGAAATTCATAATATTTCTCTCTCTCTCTCTCCGATGATTTCTTCTTCCCCCAACCCCAGCACCCACGAACCCACTTCCCCCGATGATTTCTTCTTCCCCAGCACCCACGAACCCAGAACCCTCTACCCTAGCTCGCAAGCCCAGCACCCATGAACCCGAAACCCCAGCCCCCATCCTCCACCCCAGATCCGATCAGAGAAGCAGAGGCATCTTTTCTTTTGCTTCTGGATTTGTGAAGAGAAATTGGTTCAATATTTGAAGGAGGCTGAAATGATGGTTCATAATGACATTCTTCCCAAATTAATAGTCTGCCATTGAACAAATTGCAAAAGCCTTATCATTGAACAAATAAAAGTCCCAAGAACGGAAAACCATCAAAAGAATTTCTCTCTCCCGCAGCCCTCCACTTTCTTGTTTACTTCGGATTTGCTAGCTTCTTGGTCAGGTGTATTGATATGCTAAGAGAAGTTGGTCACTTCCTATAGCTATTTGTTTATGTATTGGCAGAACTGTAGCTATGGGTTTGTGTTGGGGGGGTTAATCATTTCTCTCTCTCTTTTGCTTCTGGGTTGGGGTTTTAATTCAAGGTTCAGAGTTCAGCGGCCCGTCTTCGCCACTCGCCGCCGCGGACGCCGCACCGCCCGACAGCGACAGCGACTCTAGGCGCGCCACAGCCGATTCCAACCTCTGTATAAGCTTCTCCTCCATAGCCGCAAGCTCAAAATCTCTGTGTATCTTCTCTGTCTTTGTCTCTCTCTACGGTTAGATTAGATCTGGTAGATTTGGTGTGGCCGTTAATTAGTAAAGAAATGACTTCCTTCGCTTTTTCTTTTTTTCTTTTTATATTTTTAATATTTGGGATTTTTTTATGTTTTTTTTTACACCGAAAGGTGAAAGAGGAATTTTGATTTGGCGGCTGTTAATCTGAGTCTTCGCACCCGGTTTTTGAGGTTTGGCCTTAGGAGACGTGGGGACACGTGGAGGACAGAGAGCGAATCTTGGCTGTTCGTGCGTTGTTAAACAAACACCTTGCCTGAAAGTAATTAACTTGTGCTAACTCAAATTATTATTTTTAATTAATTTGCGGGATATAATCAGACAAAAACAACAAATTTCTGAGGAACGGTGTAAGGTGGAACCCTTCAAATTTATCTGGTCTCATTCTCTTTTTATTTATTTATAAACTTTTAATAGTTTCATTTCTACTGTAGCGTTACCAGCACAGCAGACTAGTATGACAAATTATAATATTGCCCAATCATGACTAGGGGCATGAGTTCACACTCTCTAATTTCCGTACAAAATAATAATAATAATAATATTGATTGAAATATATAACTCATAAAAAAAATACATCAATTAAGTAATACAAATTTGCATATGTCGTTGCACTCAAGTTCAAACTCCCTCCATGTACATATAAGGAACCAAACGTTATTTTTCTACCGTCCCTCATAATAGTCATCAACTGGATTGTACCATCATCTCTCATCATCCGTTCTAAAATGCCTCTGGGAATTTAGACGCTATAATCTTCAAGTCATTGGCCATGAGTGCAAACGCTTTTGTGAGGGACTTGACAAATCTTGTGGAGATGGGTAAGGCCGAAAACGGGGAGAATGCTGATGCCCAGATCAGAAGCTCGTCTCCACAGAAATCACCTTTGGCAAGACACTAGGTGGTTCCAGCATCATTGTTTTTTCAGACACCCAGAGTTGTACCTCTAGATCTTTCATTTTCAGCTGCCGTAGAATTCTCATCTTGGGATGATGCTCCAGTTACCAACTTCATACACATCTGTTACATGACAATCATGAGTTCTTTTAACCTTAATTTCCATGTCAACACCATCTAGCTTTGCCAATGACCATTTTGTCAAACGACATCTAGTCTCTATAATTTTTATAAAAAATATCACCATCTAGCTTTATTAAGCCAAAATAATTGTTTGATGAACTCCAAGATTGAGATCCTTACAACAAAACTCCAAGAGCCCGTTTGGGGGAAATTCTGCCCTCCTAGAATCACTTTAGGGGAGAAGCATATCTTATGTCATTCTCCATAAAATCACTTAAAGCCACTTAAAGTGATTATATGGAGAAGTGATTTTTTGCTTATCCAGAACCACTCCCATACGAACCCTAAGTTAATTAAGATACATTATGTTTAATTTAGAAGTTCTGGCACCAACCTTCAAATTTGTAAGGAGGTATAGTAGAAACAGGAGCAAGCCACTTAGAGCAATAAAAATGGCAAAGATATTTTCCCATGTATAGTTACTCGTCTCGAGGTTTTGCCCGAGAGAACTGCAGAATCGAAACAGAAGAAATATATTCAATGCACTGCAAGTCATAAATTCAATGTGCTGCAAGTAATAAATTCAATGTGTTGCAAGTAATAAAATATTCTAGGACCTCTCATCTATGTTAAAGACATTACAAGTCAAAACACCATTTCAACATATGCGTGTGTGATGTTAGGCAACGTAAAAGAGTAACGTTAGGATCTAGACAGTTGTAAATTTGTTCCTGCTAAAAAATACAGTAATGCAAAATTATGTTCAAACCTTAGATTTCGCAAGCCCCACCAGAAACAATGAAGGAATTTCTTCGGTAAATTTGTTGACTCCAACACACCAGACCGAACAGCCTCAACAAACATACCAAAATCGAAGGGTGTTGCATTAGTATCGTGTGGATTTATAGAGCATAAGTCGTCCAGAAATGTGAATTTTCTGATTGTACGACCATTGCAGTAGAAGGTAGTAGGTTCACATCCATTGTTGTTTCGACAAGCATTTTGCCAGCAAGCCGTCTCCCGCTGGATAGCGAAAAAGTACCAAAAAGCTCCAAATTCCTAAGAACATCAACAAGTTAATAAGTTAGCAAACAAACTTTTGAGAAAAGTTTCTACAAAGTATATATCATTCATAGGAAATTAAATGATGTTTATTTTGTTTATAAATTGGTGACAAGGTTGATTAATTTGAGAACTTGGTTTCCAGCCAAGAAATCCAACCAAAACTTGGAAACTAAACGGAGCATCACTTGAGATAAATTAATACATGAAGATTGAAACTTACATGACTAGCAAGGATGAACAAAAAGACACTGAATGCGCCTTTAAATATAATCCATATTTCAGTCTCTCTAGTAAGAGTCTCGTTGAGTTTTGTACACAATAAGTAGATGCGAAGAACTCGTGGTACACATTGCAACAGAGCAAGAAAAGCCAAAAACATCGTCGTATTCAAAGAACTAGAGTCCATGAAGACAAGGATCACTGCCTGGACACAGTTCAATGGATTAAGCCAACAATTAATTTAGCTTATATTCACATATCCGAATTTCAAATACTTTTAAAAGAGAGATTGGTAAACCAATTTTCTCATACCTGTGGAATGGGAAGAACTGCTAAAATGTCAATTAAGATGTGTGATGAGATCCTCCAAATCCTCTTAGCCATTGGCAAAACTATGGTATGGAGATATGATCTCCCCATGGCCCTAAATGTCTGATCTTTAAGTTCGTCATAAATTTGAATAACAATATTCACTACATAAAATAGATCCGTTGTTGATCGTAGTGAAATAACCGCTCCCTTCAAACTGTTGTCCAACCCGATGCACTTCGTATCCATGTTGACGACAGGAATATAAAAGAATAAAGGATCTATTAAGACCCCCAATACACATGATGCCAAAAACGCACTCTTCCACTGTGGAAGAAATGACTGAACTTGATTAAAAATGCTCCCTACTATTTCTGGCCATTCTCTACTTGATCTATGACCTTCATTTACAGTGGCAGATTCCTCAACTGCCGAACTGAAAACACATCATAAACAACATATCAAAATCAGGTACTACGATGCTGAAAAATATATTAAATTTTATATGATATAAGGTTCTTTATGGATCCATGCGTTCGTTGGTTTTTCTTACCTTGGTAGTGACAATTCTCTTGGTGCAGTAAGTTCTACGATGCTGAAAAAGATATAACAATCAAATGTTGATGCACAAAATTGGATCAAAAAGAGAGAAAAATAAACGATATAGTCCACTCATATTATAACACGTGTATATGCATATTGGATCAACAAGATTAAGGGGAGTTTTACTAAAACACCCAAAATGGGGGCTGAAATTATAAAAAAACCTAACACCCAAAACACTTTATAAACACACCCAAAACTCATCATTACACAAACTCAAAACCCATTTATAAACACACCCAAAAAATATACAATTGTTGATTATGGGTGTGTTTCTATGTTTAAATAGTACTTTTGTTTTTTTATAAATACATGTCTATGATTGAATTTATTTATAAATTTGTATTTTTGTTATCCAGCCAAAAAAGAAAGAAGAAACTTCAAGAGAGTCATTGAATAAGAAGACAATCAGATCATATATAATAGCCACATCAACTGATAAAATAAATTAAAAGAATCAATTAAAAAATTAAAAAATTAAAAATTAAAAATAAATTTTTGAAAACAATCTCTCCTCTCTCTGCAACTCACGACACAGGGTGGGTGGGGTGGGGAGAGAGAAAAACAGAGGGTGAGAGAGAGGGAGGGAGCGGGTCGGGGAAGGGTGTGTGTTTTACAGATCTGGGTATTGTTATAAATTTCAAAGGGTGTGTGTTTTTTCAGATCAGACACTGAAGCTGATGATTGGGGTTGTGAAGATGAAGTAGTACTCTAATGTCCTCAGAGGGTGAATTCATTGGTGGTTGGATTGGAGAAAAAATCGTTGAATTAGTCTTGGATTTGAGGAAAATAAGAGGTTGGGCGTGCTGAGAATTTTGGGGATGGGGTGGTGTGCGCAGTGAGGGAGAAAGCGCAAGGCAGGGGTGACTTGGTTCGCTGGGGGAGGTGTGGTGGGAATGGTGGTTTGGGTTGCTTGGATTTGCTTCGCGAGGATGGTGGTTGGCACAAATCCAGTGGGTCAAAGTCATGCCACGTCATCAATTCCAAGCTCATTTGACTGTCATATTCATATATCATGGGTTACGGAGAATATGATGGAAGATAGTAATGGAAGTATGAAACTGATGGTAAAAAAGTAAACGTTGAAGATGAAAATGAGAAGAAAAAACATTATGTAGTATAGTCAGAATTTCAAAAAATTTGCGGGTAGTAAAGTAAAATTTACCTAATATAATATTGGCTTCTGAAATGGGATGAGATTGAAATAAGAATAAGATGGAATCAGATTGTTTCAATACAGTTTTATTTCTTTAAATTGAAAAAAAGATGAGAAATTGAGAAATAATATAATTAGAAGAGTAGAAGAAACTAACTTCACAGGCACAGCTGTCTCTTGGGATATCTCCACAATTGCTGAAGCCATTAATAGCCCCTCCTGCAATATAGAGAATCGAAAACTTAATTAATTATACAATAAAAAAATTGTATATTATATATAATTTTAATCTAGATTCTAGTGTGTGTAAAATTTGGGCGGATATATGCTTCTGAATACCTGATCATCAATTTAATATTTTGCCAAATGATTGCTTCAAATATTTATAGTTGTAAATTCGGAACAGGGGTGTTGATGAGAAAGGGACATTGATGGCTATTAGGCTTCAGCAATTGTGGCTATTAGGCTTCAGCAATTGTGGAAATATGTGTTGGACGAAAGTTGAAATATTTAGTAGATGTACTTTCGTCCACTTTCGTCCGACACATATTTCAACTTTTTTTTTGGACAAAGGGCTCACTGAAATATGTGTTTGAAATATGTACCGGACCCACTTTTTGAAGCACCACTTTGCAATAGTTGATCTATTTGAAGCACCACTTTGCAATAGTTGATCTATTTGAAGCACCACTTTGCAATAGTTGATCTATTTGGCACCATCAATGTCCCTTTCTCATCAACACCCCTGTTCCGAATTTACAACTATAAATATTTGAAGCAATCATTTGGCAAAATATTAAATTGATGATCAGGTATTCAGAAGCATATATCCGCCCAAATTTTACACACACTAGAATCTAGATTAAAATTATATATAATATACAATTTTTTTATTGTATAATTAATTAAGTTTTCGATTCTCTATATTGCAGGAGGGGCTATTAATGGCTTCAGCAATTGTGGAGATATCCCAAGAGACAGCTGTGCCTGTGAAGTTAGTTTCTTCTACTCTTCTTCTACTCTTCTAATTATATTATTTCTCAATTTCTCATCTTTTTTTCAATTTAAAGAAATAAAACTGTATTGAAACAATCTGATCCCATCTTATTCTTATTTCAATCTCATCCTATTTCAGCAGCCAATATTATATTAGGTAAATTTTACTTTACTACCCGCAAATTTTTTGAAATTCTGACTATACTACATAATGTTTTTTCTTCTCATTTTCATTCTCAACGTTTACTTTTACTATTGCTTTGGTTGGTAATGGGTAGTGTCATGTCGGGTTCGTGTCGTGTCGGGATGATAAACGTGTCAAGAATGCTCAACCTAAACCCAACCCATTTAATAAACGTGTCGTGTCGGGTTCGGGTCGTCTTTTATCGTGTGGGTTTGAGTCGTGTAACGAGTTCATAAATAATAACATGCATGTTATAAAACTCACAACTGAAAAAATTTAAATAAAAAAAACGGAGAGAGGAGAGAAGAGAGAAGGAAAAGAAAAAAAAAATAGAGAGAGAAGAGAGAATTAAAGAAATTTTTTTTTAAAAAAAAAAAAGGAGAGAAAACTAAAGAGAAGGAAAAGAAAGAAAAAAAGAGAGGTAATAAACGTGTCGTGTCGGGTTCGGGTCGTCTTTTATCGTGTGGGTTTGAGTCGTGTAACGAGTTCATAAATAATAACATGCATGTTATAAAACTCACAACTGAAAAAATTTAAATAAAAAAAACGGAGAGAGGAGAGAAGAGAGAAGGAAAAGAAAAAAAAAATAGAGAGAGAAGAGAGAATTAAAGAAATTTTTTTTTAAAAAAAAAAAAGGAGAGAAAACTAGAGAGAAGGAAAAGAAAGAAAAAAAGAGAGAGGAGAAGATAACGGAAAAGAAAGAAAAAGAAACATTATAAATATCAAAAGACATAGTATATAATCACAAAGTTGTATGTAGCATGGTGGATAAGGTGTTGGAGATGGGTGGTGGGGGTTTGAAACCCCTTGTGTGTGTTTTGAAGTCTCCATTTCTCTTTATTTTTTCGCGAGTTGACATGACCCGTTTAATAAACAGGTTAAACATGTGTTTTAATGGGTTGGCGGGTTAACCCGAAACCCACCCGTTTAATAAAAGGGTCATAACAGGTTAACCCAAAAATTACCCAATTATTAATCGTGCGGGTTCGAGTCATGCTTTTTCTGTGCAGGTTTCGAGTCGTATAACGGGTCGTGTAGAAAATTGCCACCCCTTTCATACTTCCATTAATATTTTGGGACATTCTGGAAAATGCCAAAAGAGAGAAATATTTGTAAAAAAAAGCAAGCAAAAATGCCCTTATTTCTTTTTGGATTTCCTAAGGAATCTTTTACATTTGCAAAGTGTTCTCCTTCATATCTGAGGAATTTTGGAAATTTTTTTATAATTTTTTTAAGGTCATGAGTTCATACTCTCTAATTTCCGTATAAAAAAATAAAATTAATATTGATTGAAATATATAACTCAAGCCATGCACACAGTAGAGACTTCTAGGAAACTTCTATGGATCTTTTGAACAGAACACTTCCGCCATCCACATAGGCATCCGCATCCAATAACCAATAGACAGCTAGCAACCCATTTTGCCTCAAATTGAACACAAAGCTATTCCATTTTCTTTTTGTCAAGTCCCCACCTAACTATCTTTGATCCTTCTCAGAAATGTCACTGAAACTTCCTTTTCTGCAAAGTGCTTTTTTCTACTCGCTTTGCCGTGCTGCTCATTTCTGAACTTTGATGCACATCTTAACTAGTTTAGTAAAAAGGGTAATGATGGAGAGTTATTTGCAAGAGTTCGGGGAAATGAAGGCAAAGCATTCGTCTGAAGAAACGTTACAGAAATGGAGGAACCTTTGCAGCGTTGTCAAGAACCCGAAACGAAGGTTTCGCTTCACTGCCAACATTACCAAGCGTATCGAGGCTACTGCTATGCGCCGTACCAATCAAGTTTTTGTTTCTTAGCTCTGCTGTGGCATTCTTCTTCTCCTTCCTCCTCTTCTTATTAAAAGTGCCTTATCCTTATGTGCTGCCGGTGTATATTATATATTAATAATATGCTACGCAAGTAAGGGAGTTATAACTCAAGTGGTCACGAACCTTTGTCCCTATATCCGAGGAGGTTACTCTGTTCGATTCTCCCTCCTTAATATCGCTTGTATAAATACACAAAAATAAAAATATTATGGTATGTTATTTTTGAATAAAGAGAACAGAACTGGGCTTTTTGACTAGCGGTAGTACATACTCTGCATTGAAAGACTTGGGTTACTAAACAAATTATGAAACCGGAAGTATCAGTACGATTACATAAGGAATGAGAAATATAGCATGCATGCTCTATAACAAGGTCAAACGCGTCTTGATTGGAGATGCTGTGAACTTAATATTCTTGAAAAAAAAAATGTAGTTGACAGAATTGGATTTTGATCATTCAAATCAAATTGGTCAGTTTTCAGGTGGTGCAATTTTTATTATCTTCTTTGGTGGTCACATCAAATACGTTTGAATTTTGAATCCTCTGCCGCCATATTGACACAATTGACTGAATGTTGTGGAGCTTCAAGATCATGTTCACCCTTATCTGTTATCTTGGAGAATTAACCTCTCAGTGCTTAATGCAATAATTTGTGATTAGAAATCAGTATTGCCATTGGTTATTATTGGTGTCTTGCTGTAGTTCGTAGAGGTGCTATCAGTTCAAAATCATCCTTTTATCTCATCTTTCAATTTCCTTTTGCTCAAATTTTCGACCGGTGCTAAGGTATATAGACTTGGTGTTGGGAGAATGAGATATAAGTTGCCATGTTCCATGTGGGAACTTAGAATACACTTGGTGATAGGAGAACAGAAATTTGCAATACCGGGGTGTGTTTCGTCCTCACCCCGTTGAACTTAGATCAATACATCTGCTTCTCATGCCATGCACAGTAGAAGCATATATCCGCCCAAAAAAAAGAATTAAAGTTTCATTGAAAAAAAAAATTATAGACCTCCTTGTATCGTGGAGGAGCCAGTTGGTTTGTATAAGATTTGCAGAGAGATGTACCAGAATCCGAGCATCCATGCTAAAATTAGTCCAGAATTTAGATCTTCAAGTCATTGGCCATGAGTGCAAATGCTTAAACTTTTGTGAGGGACTTGACAAATCTTGTGGAGATGGGTAAGTCTGAAAGCGGGGAAAATGTTGATGCCCAGGTTAGAAGTTCTTCTCCATAGAAATCACCTTTGGGTTTGGCAAGACACTTGGTGGTTGAAGAACCTCCACTACTTGGCTGATGTTCTAGTTACCAACTCCATACATATCTGTTACACGACAATCACGAATTCTTTTAACCCTTATTTCCATGTCAACACCATCTAGCTTTGGCAATGACACGAGCACGACACGAATGTCAGGTCTAATTAGGCTGCAATAAATAGCAACCAAAGCAAAAAAGTCATCTCCAGGAGTTCAATTTTAAGGCCTTAAATGATTGAGCCCCACTAGAGCTGTACGCATATTTATGTTCGCAGTTGAAGCCCATGAAACTCAATAAGGCTCGCATGGAGAAAAAACTGCCAATTCATTTGTGTTGTTGGTGAGTTGCCTTGCGACTATGGATTTTCTTAACAGACCTCACCTTACATATCAAAAGATATAAAGTACATATTTACAAGCTCCTAAGTATGAATCCAAATATATCAACAAAATCTATAAGATCATGGGAAAAAAAATTATAGAAAATATTATATGCACATTCAAGGCTTGTAAAATCTTTTCTATATACTAATGGAGAATCATGATAAGAAGTCGAATGGCCTCAGGAACTACCTCCTGTGCCAAAACATAATAATCTCCACTTCCATATCTCGCTTCATTTCTATCCATGGCATGCTTGGATTGGTTATTGAACATTATCAGATGCAGCTGCACGGGAAGGGAAACAATCTTTCTATCGGGCTGATCGGGTTTCCTGCAGCTTATAGAACAGAAAAATGAGGAAGCTGAAAATGAAGAACATGTTAATGTGATCTTGATGTTGAAGAAATAATACATTGGCAAGTAGGTTGCCAACAAATATGATATAAATGTGATCTTGATGTTGAAGAAATAACACATCTGCAATGCATCTACAAACCAGTCTCTACATTTATTGAAAAATTTATATCCTACCAGTCCCATCATCACCAGTCTCTCCCCCTTAATAGAAGACAGGTTTTGAGATCAAACCATGCAGAGGCAGAAATTTGTGGAGAGGGCAACTCTTTAATATATGACTCAAAATTTATGCAAAGTCATAATAGTAGCGATTGACCAGACCAAGAAAATTCTAAGTGGGACAGAAACATATATGATAAGAAAGGACTTACAGAACGATAAGGGAAGTCATCTGCCTCAAGCATATGAACAATTTGCCCCATTTTTGGTCGCTTGTTGACATCTAAATCTATACAGCGGAGACAAACCAGCAACGCTCGCTTCATAGCTCTTGGAGAGGGCTGAACTTCTATCAGAGGATCTACTACCTCCTCTCCACGGCGACTTTGGATCATTCCTTTAAACCAATCAACCAGGTTCATCTGATATACACCAACTGAAACAGTTAGGACATTGTTGCAGTGCTTCTAGGAAACAGAGAATGAAAACTTGGCTTTACCTCTCCAGCTGGTCTGGAATAGTCAATTGGGCTTCTTCCTGTAATTATCTCCATGAGTAGAATTCCAAAGCTATATACATCACTCCACTCGTTCAGCATACCTGTGCTTGCATACTCTGGAGATACATATCTACAGAAAATTACAGTGAAGAATCAGTACTACAACATAGTAGAGATACCATCCAGGTAATGTATCATTGAAATATCTTCAGAATTCAAGAAAGAACTAACCCAAATGTCCCCATGACACGTGTAGTCACGTAGCTTGACTCAGGTGCTAAGAGCTTGGCCAGGCCAAAATCTGATACTTTTGGGTTCCATTTTCTATCCAGAAGAATGTTGCTGGATTTTATATCACGGTGCACCACCTTGGGTTCTAACCCTTCATGCAAGTAGGCCAGCCTGTTAGAAAAACAAGAATAGGTTTATAGTGATGAAGGATAATAAATTTTCATAGCCAAAGTAAGGAGATCGTGAGAATGACAAAAGCAGTGCAATATGTTACAATATGTTACAGATCCTGTCATACTGAGACAAATAATCGTTAAATACAAGCAAAATGAAGAATACAGAATTATCTCACCCTTTCGCTGTCCCGACGGCTATTTTCATTCGAATATCCCAGGTCAGAGGGCTGGCAGGCCCAACATCACCATGCAACCATTGCTCCAAATTGCCATTGTCAATGTATTCATATACAAGCATCCTGGCAGAGCAGTAGAAGTCCCCATGGACATGTTAATTAGAGGAAGAAACGGGTTAATCTGAATTCACCTAGAAGATATGACAATAGAGTTACCTTTGAGCACCTTCAGCACAATAGCCAATTAGACCCACCAAGTTCTTATGCTTTACTTTACCAATGGCTTCCACTTCCACCTTAAACTCTGTCTCTGCCTGACCCCTATATGTAAGATGACAAGCAGCAATTAAATTTTGAGTTAACAGAAATGTTATACAAAGACCAAGTTCAAATCTGAAAATTTGCTTTCATGGCAAACAAGCAACTGCACTTCATATAATTTCACTTCACAGGAAATATTTTCAACATCCATCATGGAGCCACGGCACTGTTTATGTTTTTGCTCCTATTGTTTCTGGTATGGTATTTTAATATATTTAATATTAAAATGGGAATGTTTCGAAGACAAAGTAATATTTGGTCAATCAAAAGTAGAAAATCAATTATGAAAAGTGAAAACAAGCTCTGAAGATTAGATATAACAATGAGGCATGAAGAAAGCACAAAGTTGAAATTGAATATAGTAAAGATATTAAAAATAAAAAGAATGAAGAATGAAGAATAAAAGTGATAAAAGCACAAAGTAATTTTCTTTTCCTCGTACAGCGGAACAAAGGAAGGCTCTTTTTCTTTTTAATCAAAAGAAAAGCAGGTCACTGAGTGTACAAACAGTGATTACTATATTAGTTATTGATTCAGTGAAGCAAATGAGGTTTAGTCTGGTGGAAAAGGGTCATGACTTGCAGACCTTCCTTTTGTAGTTTAGACTATCGCTTGTATTCCAAAAACAAAACAAAAATACTAACATGAATAATTTATACAGTTTTTTTAACCAAAAGAATAATTATACAGTTTAAAATGTACACCGGTGATTATTATTAATAATTTATAAGAAAACTAAAGTGAATAATGATATAGTTCACAATGTGTATACATATATTACATGCAAAACGTCTATATTGTGATGTTGCATACCAAATTAATGATAGGGATTAATTATAAATTCCATTTTGTAGAAGTAAGTCTAAAGTCAAATGTCATATTATTAATTTCATTATACAACCAATTAGGTATTGGTTTAGAGATTCTTTTCTTCCTAACATTAAAAGAAATCTCAAGTTCGAATTCTCTCACCCTTCACCATTGACCAAAACTCTCATGGAGTGACGTTAGTTGAATAAAAAAGCATAAAAAGTTATGGGACGTTCACTTACGAGTAATAGTAATCAAAAGAAATGGAATGATTTTCATTCTCGACTTCCCCCTACGTATAATTATACAAATTAATAACAATTAATAATGTGCACTTCGCAGTGATTTTGTTTTTGTTTTTTTTTATAAAAACAAAGTTTTAACGTAGCTTCTAGATTCCCCACCAGCCTACCTTAATGCCACTTGAGCTAAGAGAATTGAATAAAAAATATACATCCGTAACTAAACATTATTAGCTGTTGACTAAAAATACATTATTAAACACACAGCTTGGAAAGACCCTTGGATCTAGTATGAACGAGAAACATGTAAATTATTTTCCTCAACCATTCCTATGTATTTTTGGACCGAAAATATTTCGATGAAAAAAAGAAAAAAAAGGGCAAGAGTTGAAATTGAGTAAAAAGACACGTACTTGTTGTTGAGAAGGTTCTTGACCGCCACGACAGAGCCGTCCTGCAAAATTCCTCTGAAAACGACGCCGTATCCTCCTTCTCCAATCACGTTGTCTGGAGAAAATCCACGCGTCGCAATCTCCAGCTCTTTCAAGCTATACCACCTGCCCCACCCGATGTTCTGCGGACCCGACCCGTCACTCTCCAACCCGCTCCGCTTCCCTTTCCCTCTTTCGATATCCACAATCTCCATCTCTTCCTCCACCTCCTTCACATTTTCATTTCCGATTTTGCCCTCGCCAATGTCGAGGACGGCGCGCGGGCTAGGAGATTTAATCTCGGCGATCTCTTTGGAAACAAGCGGGATTGAGCCGGAGCTGTGCTTGACGCGCATCTTGCGCTTTCGCGAGGCTCGGGTCGTACAGACGCAGAGGAAGATGAGGAGGGCGGCGGCGAGGAGGCAGAGGACGAGGATGGCAATGACAGCGTAGAGTTTGAGGCTGAGGAATGGGGTTGTGGAAGTGAGCTTGTGGGAGAGGGAGGTGTTGGATGTCTGAGTGGTCTCGCCGGCGACCGTCATTGTTTCCGGCGAGCGATGTCGGTGGAGAGTTTGAGCTGAGAATTTCTAGAGAGAGAGAGAGAGAGAGAGAGAGAGAGAGATGGTGGGAGTGTTTGTTTGGTTGATGAGTAAATAACTTGAAGTTAAAGTTCAGTCAGCAATTTAGACTGTTAGAGGACTTTGCAGAGAGAGATTGAGGAGGAGAAAAGAGTGCGGCTTCAACGGACACAAAAGCGAAAGGCAAAGGTTGAAGTGAAGGAAAAGAACAGAAAAAAATAGGAAAAAAAAAAGAAAAGAAAAAGGGAAGATGTAAGATTATGGGTTTGATATTTGAGATTATTACAGAACTGCCAGTCTAGAGTGTACAGCCAGGCAAATCGCAGTAGCCCTTTTTTTATTTAATCCATTCAACAATTATATAGTTTATGAAATTAGATGTCTAGAACAAAGTGATATCTAATAACCATTTTTTAAAAAGAAAAAAAAGAAATTGTATTGAATAAATATAATAAAATGTGTACAATGTCGATGGATAATCAGAATAGTGAATTCACAACCAAACATGACGATCAAGAGCAAGAGCAGAATCTTAATTAAGATATTCATAACCTGAATACAATCACAAAATACAAAAAGAGCAAAATTTCATAGTTCTCTTTTTCAAAAATGCATTCATCATGTCATTAATTTTATTCTCTGAAAATAAAATAAAAGCAACAAGAAAAGAAATACAAATATGAATTCATCCCAACGGGATCTAACTCAATGAAAAAGAACCTTGATTTAACAGTGTGGTCTAAGATTCAAATTCACACAATTGTGAAAACTCACCCTAACCCACTTATAAACTTTCACAGCCGCAATTATAATCGGGCGGATCAATCAATATGCATATAATAAGATAATTATTTAAACCGATGCACATGGCAAACACAACACGATCAACTACTTCGATTTAATTTGCGGGATATGTTTAGGAAGAAATATTATTTGAGAGAAGGTAACATCTCTTTGTCAGCTCTCTCTTTAGTTTGAAACCAAATATTCCTAGTTTCACTAATTTATTATAGGATATAGATCATGACGCATGAACAGCGAAACCCTTTTCGTGGTACATAATCTATTATAAGAAATTAATTTTCCCTTGAACCAAAATTTGTCCTAACTGGGTTGAGGTTTGGACGTGACTGTCTAATGTTGGCTCACCACCTAATCCGTTGTTGTAACCCTTGGATACCCTTCGCTAATAGGAATTTGACAAGAACGTGCATGGGAAGAATATTAATATGAGTGAAGAAAAAGAGGATGACTAGTTAGTTAGAGATCATCTTCTTTGAAATTTCGAAGTAATGAAATTCTCCAATGACGTATAGTTGTGAAATGTAGGTGTCAATATGTCGACGCTTTATATTGATCAATTGTATTGCTAATGGGGCTAATCTAGTGACAAAAAGCCTTGACTTGCATATGAGTGATCTCATATTCGAATTTTCATGATACCTTGATAGTTTATGTATAAAAAAACCAACCAGCTGTATTATGCCGATTGACCGACACTCAATTCATGCAACTATCTTGCGATACTCGTCCTGCATTGATTGGAGAAATGCTCAAAAGACATTGATTGTTATCAGTCCCTTTTATTTTCTTTGGTATGGAAGAAGAACTTGGATCTAAAACGACCAATTATTTTGATAAAAATTTGGATACACTCGTAAATTGGGCATGGAAGAAAACAATTTGTACCAAAGGGCTTGTTGTAAATGTTATGGTGTATTTGCCTGACTGGAGGGAGCGTGAGTAGGACCCCCCTTAAGCATTAATTTTCTTTTGAAATTTTCGTGAGTTGGAACAGCCGAGACATCAATGTGTTGGAACTTCTTTTAAAGGAGATCATGAAAGAAATGCTTTTAATAGGACGTATGCTCTCATTCATATCATAGACGCAATTTAATACAACTTTGTAACAAAATTAAAGAAAAGCTTTGCAGAAATGGACTTCATCAGCTGTTCAATTTCAAAATTTTGGCAAGAAATTAAGATAGATAATTATTATAAACCATTGTATCAAGAAACAGTCTGGCTCTATCCTCTAGCTCACTCGTACGGCGCTTTCATCGTAAATTTTCCTATTATGACAAACTGGCATAGTACGACAAATAAATAATGAGCTAGTTCACAATTTTGCAAGTAGAACTCATTTTTTTCTTAAATTGGAATTTAGAAATTTGTGAAACCTAAATTGAATGATAAAAAGACCTTGCTAAGGAATGATGTGGGTCCCCCAAATAATGCTACGTTTTATCTTAATTATTATTGGTTTTGTTGCATGAGAATACGTGATATTGACGATATTTTTACGTAAATAATTTAGTAGGTAAGGTAAATGCAGAGTTCAATATGGTTAGGGAGTAATTTTTTTCATGGCCGTTTTTAACTGGACAGGTACAAAATTACTATTACCTTTAACGTTAATGTTTAATCCGCCACGAGCTAGCTTTCTCTCTGAATGTGACGTGCAAACAGAGAAGACAAATTTATAATTTTAACTTTGAAGTTAAGGTATTCCATAACGGCTATGTTGGTGACAGAACAAACGATATCTTCACATATTGTCAAACTCAAAAACCAAATTGGGTGTTTTCAGAGGATAAAGTTGGCTTCAACAGTGCATGGAAAAAGTGTATCCCAATTCCTGAGTTATATTGGAAATTTAGAATTGCGCCCCTGAAGCTTGCTTCAAATAACTTGATGAATTTTCAACTTTCTTATCGTTTGTTCACCCAGTTTATGGAGAAAAACTTCTTTATTCCCGTTGCATTGTCCCTTTCTTTCTATTTCTCTCTTCATAGCATTTATCAGAGAATAAAAAAGATAGAAAAAAGATAGCAATACAACGAGAATAGGGAAGTATTTCTCTCGTTCATGAATCATGAGATTGGTCTATTTGACATTAAAGATTAGGGGCTTAAATAATCTCCAACTCAAAAGGTTCAAAACCTAACTTTACACTCTCGAATACATTTATTCATCAAGACATAAGTTCTGAAACAGTGAGACCAACCACCCAAATTAAGCCCATCCATTGCATGGGCCCATGTGCTGTTGGATAGAAATTTATCCAAAATGCTAGCTTTGGGTCCACAACGTAGGGTCTTGTATTGTTTTTGTTTCGAATTTATCATTAGTTCATGAACTATGCGAAAACACACATCAATTTTAGTCCCCAAACTTCAAAATTACTTAATGTTAATTCTGTCTTTTGACATAGATAGATATCATCCCTAACATCAACTTCGTAGAGAAATCCTTCAAAGAAAAAAATTACAAACATGGAACGCAATCAATTTTTAAGGAGTATGTAATTAGCATATTTCGACGATATGACTTATTTAAAGTTGATTACGTGCGTGGTTAATTATGTGATTGATATGAGGATGATTACTATGAAAATGACAATGTATACATATGCTGAATTGAAATTTTTTTCACGAGGATGAAGTTTGGACGTCTTTCTACCACTAGATCAAGGATACATATGTATTATATGATGGTCTTTGCTAATATTCATATCTAAGTTATTTTCTATCCAGCTGTTCTATTATTTTGTTGATATAATTCTATCTTTATCAAATTAGCTATCAAACTCATTGACATATTATGTCTTTAACATCTCCTGAAATTAAACCTGAGACGTGATTCGATTAATTTGAAACAACTATCACTTAAACAACTAAACTACATGTTTTTTTTTTCTCTCTTTCATACATTGTCAACAGTGATAGATTCAGGAATTATCTTTTTTGGGGGCAAGAAAATCGTATTATCAAGTCACTAATAATGAAGATCAATCGACTCTTAAATGTAAAAGAACACAATCATATAAATATATCAATGTATAAATTAGTAACACAAACTCTACACATTCTACCTAATTCCTCTATTGCACGACACAAAAACAAGAATGAGAAAAGTGAGTCTAAAGAACAAGAAGAATAACATAAGTAGAGGAGTAGAGCAGGTTACCCCTTGTCATGCTTTAGTCTTTTTTGAGGCATTTTATGTCCCCATTAAGAACAAGTCCAGCGCAAGGGGCAAGCCTAGGCAGGATGAGGCCTTAGGCCTCGAAGGCAGCTCTAGCAAGCAAGATCCAACCTGGGCAAGGAGTGGGACCCACGAGCCTGGGCAAGCCTACTAGGAGATCCGGCCCATCCTCTTGCCTTCGAGTTGCTGACGTTAGCGCAAGAATTTCAAATTGGAATGCATACACCAATGGTAAAAAATGTTTGAATTTCTTGCCCTGACGTCAGTGCTAACCCACAACTGCTAGAAACTAACAGCTAAAAGCCAGGTGGCTTCTCCTGGAGTCTTCGATCCAAAAATCTCCTATAATCCAAAATGTTGTTCATTTTTTGGCTAAAAAAAATTAAAATTAAAAATTAAAAAAATTGTAAAAAGTATTAAAATTATTGGAATTTTTTTTTCTTCTATAAATACCTACCAATATTATCCACACCAAATCTTCATACAAATTCATCTCCTTACAATATTTTTCCCTTTCCACACAGAAATTTCTACTACTAAATTCCATTTGTGTACAAATACAAATGACCTCTTCCATCGAAGCCGAAGGCACGTGGACAACTGTGGAAGATATTTTGTTGTGTGAGTGTTGGGTCAAAGTTGGTCATTGTCCGATCACGAACAATGAGATGAAATCCTCTCATATGTGGAGAAAAATTCATGGAGAATTTTGTGAAAGATTAGGTTCGGCTCGTATGGAAATGACCTTGGCTAGTAGGTGGAAAATTTTGAATAAAGAGTTAGGTTAATAAAGAGATGCTTTGGCAAAAGCGAGGGAGAACATTCAAAGCGGTCAAAATCTTGGGGACGAGGTAAAATATTTCTAAATGTCATTTTATTCAATTTAATGTCACATTTTTTATATATAAATATTTTCTTGCATTTCTAATTATATTTTTTTAATAGATTATTCAAGCACAAATGTGGTTCGAAGCCATTTGTGAAGGTAATTTTTTTTTATTTATCAATTACCAATGTTGGGACGTTGTGAAGAATTGTTCGAGATTCAAAATTATTTCCATTGGTCTGACGATTGTGTTGAATGAGACGCCGCTTAAGTTTGGGCCAAAAAGAAATCTAAAAGCACCAGCCCATCTTCGCAAAGAAAGACCCACAAAACAGAAAGGAACAGAAGACTGGGCTTTGATTCCAAAAAAGAGAACCTAATCCACTTCAGAAGCCCACGTCTTTTTTCGAAATGGCAGAATCATAAAAAATGCCAAAATAAATGGCGGTTAAACAACTAAACAGATCGATAAAAGAAGAATTGAATTGGGCCCAGTTTCTAAATTCTACCATAC